TTAGTTGTTATAATTACAACTAAACTTTAATCATTATTTAACAATAACGCCGGAATCAAAAGAACTCTAAAACTTCCAAATAAACACCAAGAATTTGCATTCTATTTTTTTTTTTCGAAAGATAGAAATTTATTGAGATTAAATTCGAACGGTTACATTTGCATCCTCTGCTAAAATATTGAACAGAAACTCTGGACCCAACAAATCCCAATCAAATCTCCTGCCATGCTTAATAGCGTGCGCCGCCACCGAATGAGCTGCACGATTTCGTTGCCGAGGGGTGAAGCAAAACCTCACCAACTGGAACAAATCCGCCATCCTCCAAATGTCTTGGAGATAAATATCAAGAACCATATCAGCCGTGACCTCCTGATTAATCATTTGAATTAAAACTTTTGAGTCCGATTCAACCACCAAACTACCCCCAGATTCCGAAAACCCACTACTAAGAACCATCTCTAATCCCTGCCTGACCGCCTCCGCCTCAGCCATTATTACAGCTGCAAACCTTTGCCCACCCACCCTTCCGACAAGCTTATGAAGCCCCACAAAATCGCGAAGAACCCACCCCACCCCACCCACCTTTGACTCCTTCCACCAAGCCGCATCACAATTTAATTTCAATACTTCAAAACTAGGTTTTGTCCACTGAAACTAGTCGCCCCCAACCCCATCTGCACCCACTTCTCCCACCCTTAACTTCCTCCCAGTCCAATGTTCCCCCCCCATCCACTACCGTAGACTCCCTAAACTTACCCACCTGCTTCCGCCACAACTCCAAATTCGCCAAAACCCAAACACCACCTGCTGCAATAATAATTCCGCCTCCTCCTCCTTCCCTAGTCTCATCACTACCCTTTCCCAACCCTCCAGAAAATCCACCACTCCTAAGCCTGCCATATCCATTTACAACGCCGTCCCGAACCAAAAAGCGCGACTAAACTCACACCCAAAAAATAGATGCCCTTCGGTCTCATCTGGCAAGCCATAGAGCTCACACTTATTCACCACCCGAATCCTCCGGCGCTCCAAATTATGCCTCACTGCCAACGCCTTACGACAGGCCCTCCAAAGAAATAACAGATTATTATTTGGTACTAGGAGAGACCAAATTGTTTTCACCCCTCCCCCCATTCTTGCCGAACTCGGCATCCCCCCCCTTTACGCCCAAATTCCCCATTTTTCATCATCTCCATTGCTACATAATATCCCAAGCGAACCAAATAAATCCCATTCTTTGTATAGTGCCATATTCATTTATCACGATTACCACGTCTACTAATCGGAATAGTTTGAATCAGTTCCAAATCCTCTTGTTCCACCATGATCCCAGAAGTCTCAAGATTCCACCCTTGCTTATCCGTAGAAAATAACTCACATACCTTTACATTGGGAGCCCTAATCCTCATCATCGGTTTGAAGGAATGAGGCTTAGGTATCCAAGGATCAGTCACCACTCTAATAGCCTCCCCATCCCCTACCCGTCATCGAAGACCACGGTTCAAAACTTGCTGCCTTAAAAGTAAACCTTTCCATCCCCACGAGGATCTGGATCGGTTGTTAGCCTCGAGAAAGGAAGAGTTAGGAAAGTATTTATCCCTAAGTACCACTTCAAGCATCGAATCCGGCGTATGTAGTACCCTCCAGCTTACTTTGGCAAGCATGGCCAAATTAAAGCCAATTAGATCCCGAAAACCCAACCCTCCATCTTTCTTCCTCATAGTCAACTTTTCCCATGCCACCCAATGACATCCCTTAGCCTTCTCCTGCCCTCGCCACCAAAAATGAGCAATAACCCACTCTAGTTCCTTACACGTACTCACCGGTAATTTAAAGCATGCCATAGCATGATTCGGCTTTGCCATGGCAACTGATTTGATCAACACTCCCTTCCCCACAAGAGACAAAAATTGCTCAGCCCATCCATCAATCTGGCTCTCAATACCTCGACGAATCGACTCAAAAACCGCCTTCTTCGAATGCCCAAAATCCACCTAAATCCCTAAATATTTACCAAATCCATCATTAGCTTGAATATTCATCCTCGTAACAATATGTTTTTTCTCCTTCTTCAGACAACCCTTTCCAAAAAATATAGAGCTTTTCTCCAAATTTATAATCTGGCCAAATTCTTTCCCATACGCCTCCAATATTTTAACCACATGTCCTGCCTCCGTCACATTAGATTTACTGAATACTACTGAATCATCCGCAAAAACAAATGACTAATAGGCATCGCATTCTCTACCACCCGCACCCCACTAATCAATCCCGCCACTTCAAACTTTCGGATATACGCCGACAAAGCTTCCGCACATAGCAAAAATATAAAGGGTGACAATGGATCCCCTTGTTGTAACCCTCGTTCAGGTTGGAAATACCCTGAGGGAACACCATTCACCATGACACTATAGGACACTGTAGAGATGCATTCACGAATCCATTCACAAAATTTAGGATGAAAGCCCAACTTATGCATAACAACGATCAAAAAACGCCATTCTACTCGATTATACGCTTTTGCCATATCCAGTTTAATCACCATCTGACCATCCACCCCATTCACCCCTTGCTTCAAAGAATGCAATATTTCATGTACCACCAAAATATTATCATGAATCTGTCGTCGGGGAACAAATGATGACTGATTAATGCTAATGACACGATTCATCACTTTTTTTAATCTCCGTGTTAAAACCTTAGCAATAATCTTATATACTACATTACATAATGGTATAGGTCTCAATTTCGCCATCCGCCGCCGAGCCTTCACCTTCAGAATTAAGACAATATTTGTGTGGTTAGTCTTTTGAAGCAGCCGCCCTAAATGATAGAAGGCATGCACCATCCGAATAATATCCTGACCCACCACTTCCCAATGATCAAGAAAAAAACCCAGCTGTGAATCCATCAGGACCAGGAGACTTTGTTGCTGGAATTTGAAACATAGCTTCCTGAATTTCCTCGTCCAAGAAAGGACGAATAAGTTCCTCATTCTCCAAGTCTGATACCTTCGACTCCACCGATGTCGTTACCTCACCATTCTGCCGTGAGTCTCCAACATGGAATAAATCCATAAAATACGTTATAGCAATGTTCTGCATACGTTCCGAATCCTTCTACCATACTCCTGCATTATTGACTAATCCCTGTATCCGATTACACCTCCTTCGTTGTACAGTTTGAGCATGAAAGAACTTCATATTTTTATCCCCTTCCCGAGGCCATGTATTCCGTGATTTCACCTTCCAATAATATTCTTCCTTTTTAATAGCCCATGTAAGCTCATTCTCCTTCTCTTTAATATGCTCTTGCCGCACTAATGGATCCAAAATCCCCCTTCGAATCTCTTCCTTCAATTCCTCAATTCGTCGCTTAGAATTCGGTTTCATAGGCTTCTTCCAAGCAACAAGTCTATGGCGAGTACCTTTCAACTTCTCGCTCACTCTAAAGGCTGAAGAACCTTTAACCGATTCCTTCCACACTTCCATAATAATATCCCTACAATCCGGGTTTTTCCCCCACCTCGAATCATAAATAAACCGATGTGGTCTTTTGATAATAGTCCTATCAGATGAAAAGACTAACACATAGTGATCCGATCCTTCCAACACCACGTGGTTAGTTTTCACCCTAGGAAACATTTCCATCCACCCTGCCGTGGCCACACTTCTATCTATCCACTGTTGAATGAACCCATCATCACACTTATTCCTCCATGTAAAAGGAAAGCCTTCAAAGCCCAAATCAAGAAGTTCGTTATCTGCCAAGAATTCCCGAAAGTCCCTCGTACTGGCCATTGACCGATAATTACCCCCCTTCCTTCTCTTCATCATCCACAATGTCATTAAAATCACCAATCACAATGCATTTCCCTTGAGAGCTACGAACCCTCATACTCAGCTCTCTCCATTGAGCCCTTCTCCGTTTTTCATCTGTACTAGCATATACCACTAACATCCTCCAATCTGAATGAATCGGATCTTCACCAAAACCCAACTCAATAAAGAAATTCTTTCACACAATGCTAGGAATGCCAACCTCATCTCTCCAAAAAACACAAAACCCGCCCCCAATGCCTTTAGGTTCAACCAGTTGCATAAAGTCCATCCGTAACACCTTCAAGAGATATCTATACCGCTCACTATTATTTTTTGTTTCCAGTAAAATCACCACCCTGGGGCGGTGAAGCCTCACCTGCTCCACCAAGGCATCAACTATCAAGGATCCCCCAATTCCTTGACAGTTCCAGCATAATGTTTTCATGGTGCTCGTGGAGACCCTTCACGGCTGGTCTCCTCCGCCTCAGAAAAAAGTAACACTCGCTTATTCTGGATACTACTCACCTTCCCACCCACATCCGTCCATTCCGCATCCACTTTTCCAAACCTCCGCTTCGTTCTTCAACTTTCCTTACACATTGTAGCAATAATAAGACCCAACTCAAACGGGTCTGAATCTTGAGTGTCTCCCTAAACAGTCCCTATAATCTCAATACCATTCACCGCTACCTCCTGATGGTCCCCGATAACCATCCCTCCTTGTTGTGCTACTTCCAGGTCCTCCTCCACTTCCATATTCAGTGGAACATTTAGATCCACCTACAAGCCTTTCTTATACCATTCCTCATCCCCCTCAACTTGTCTCTCAGGTTCTACAAAATCAAACAACTCGACATTCACTGTTCCAGGCACTACAACCCCTCTTCTACCAATGAGCCCAGCATCAAATGCGTTTTCTCGCGCTTGTCGAGCCTGCTCCTCCGCTACTCGACACTTAGTAATTAGCTTATTCCTTTCCCTACTACCATTTCCAGTCCAAGGCGCACGCTAATTATGTGTATCATTCATGTCTCCCCCACCTAATCTGCTTGACATATGAACCTCCTGCCCAACCCTACACCTGTCCTCCCATGTCCCCTCCTCACCACTCACTTCGTCCCGACATCCCATTCCTACCCTTCGTGGTTCCATAGATCGCCATCTACACTCCCCCATCACTTAGCTTGTTGATCGACGAGACGGTGAATGGATCACACTTCCTTGCAAATCCCATCGAGCCTCCAAACCTTCATATGGAAATTGTCCTCTCTTATTCTGTGATTCATCTTCCTCCCCTAAGCCATGCAACTCATGCAAACCATGTGTTTTACAAACCCGGCTTACATGACCAAGTTTGCCATAGTAAAAGCAATAATTACGCAGCCCTTCATATTGCAATTGTACCCAGACACGTCCTTCATCTGAAAACGTGACCATCATCCCCTGCATCAATGGTTCCTGAAGGTTAAACTTGATACGAACTTGTAGAAATCTTCCAATGCATTCTCTGCTAGCCGATTTATCCACCCATACCACCTTGCCAAGCTTTTCTCCAATTTCCATAGCAACTGCAGCCGTCATACTCAGTGGCGGCACTTTATGAATCTGCACCCACATGTCCCCTAACAATAGTGCATCCCATCGTGCCTCTCTTCTATCTGTACAATCCTTCAGCATAACAAATCCTCTCGAATCGTCCAAGGGAAATCTGAATCAAACACCCGCTGCATATCACGCTTAGCCACAAACCGCACCAAAAATCTACGATCACCAATCTCTCTAATAGAAACCCCTTCCTTGCCTCTCCATAGCAAACTAAAACGATCCACAAAAGCTTCCCCATGAACTATCCTATCTGTTAGAACCTCTACCAATACCATATAGTGGAAACCAATCAACGCCTCTTCTACATCCTTCCTCGCAATCACCACACCATCTTTCTCCTTTTCTGTCAGTTGAAGTTTGATTCCCAAAGATTGCCCGAGTTCCGCCATAATATCCTCCGTATCAGGTTCCTCCATCCACACCCCGCTCCTCACTAACCCGACACTGTTCTTCCAACCCAAGCAACCACCCTCACAATTGTAGAAAAAGGTCATCCGCACAAGGCCAGAGATATACCACCGTTGCTCCGCTAGGGTTACATCCACAATCGCAGAAAACGCTTTCCGACTTTCTCGGACAAAAACCTCCTTTCGAGGACAGTCTGTTGGATAAGAATTTGCATTCTATGATCCACAATATGATCCACAATTGATTAATCGATCTCAAAAACTAGATAAATGTGTGGTTCATTATGTTTATGTAACTTGATACTTTTCCGGTTAATTTGTAAAAATATTATATTTGCAACTTGCAAGGAGGAAGGCATGTGCACTCCATCTATATATGGAGATGCAATTAAGTACTAATTATTCCTTTTTGTTTGGAATATTTTCAGAGGAAATGTCAAGGATACCGCATTTGTGTATCATAGGTAAATTATATGCGTGAAAATTAATATGTACATTTAATTTTAATTTAATACATTTATATATTAAATATTGGTTGTTATATTATGCATTCTCACCTTGCTTTGACTCTCAACCCAAACAGTAATGCGTGTTCCAAATAATAAGTCCATAGAATTGGAATGAGAGGAGAGGGAGTTTAGCAAATACGCGAGGAAGGTAATAGCCAATAAGATTTATGTATATTGACAACCTGCATCTTGAGCAATATGAGTAGATTAGTTATATCTAATTCAACTGCCAGTACTAGCTCTAGATTTTGTTTAAGTAGATTTCTAGACATAGTAAATGAAGAACAAAAATTAGAATTCCAAACGGATGACAGTGTCGACTTTGGAGATTAGAATATCCCCAAGGTTTATAGTAAAAACATTTACAAAAAGAAATGGTCAGTAGACTCTTTTAGAAGTGAACACCACATCAAAACAGTTGAAAAAACTTATGCTCTTAGTAAAGAACATGACACTTGTCGGTTATTCACACTAGAACAAATTAAAACTCATAGAAAAGATGGTTACAATTACATTCACATAGGTCTAGTCGAAATACTAGTCAAGCCTTTAACAAGAAGAGGCCTCAATACCTCTATTTTGTTATGTCTCCGAGATGCAAGATTCACTGACTTTAGTGATAACATTCTTGGAATGATTGAGTTAAGTCTTTACAATGGACCAATTCATTTTGATTGTTTCTCAGATCTCACAATAAGTCTTTCAGATCCCCACATGCTAAAAGCACTCACTTTAAACATAAAAACTTCAAGCTATCAAGTCCTTGAAGGAGTCCAACCATTAGCTTTAATTTTCAGAGTCTACTTTAAAGTCACAGGAACAAACATGAATTTCCAAGGCTTGGTTAAAAGTCCTAGAGACCATACACTCCTAATCCAAACTAATCAAGAAAACACTAACATCAAAATACCCAGAACTATTAGGTGGTTAGATATCAGTTTGCCTTTAGATTGGTGTTTGATTAATGAAAGTAAGCCAGTTAGTATCCAAAATAGTTTAGTCAACCTAAACAACATAGAACAATATTTTGATGGAACAGTTAATATTAACTTTGACCATCCAGCCAGAAAATCTAGTGTCCACATACATGAGTTAGCCCAGCCCCACAAATCTTTAGAACAAAGTAGGAATTCTTTTTCTGGATCCACATCAGTCGATACGGTGGGTCGAGATCAAGATTTAACTAATTCCTTAGTCAATAGAAAATTAAAAGCAGTAGAAACTAGCTCAGTAGCCACCCAACAAGAATTAATCAATTACTTGATTAACATAAAACTAAAATCAATAGAAATAGCCTCTCAAGTGACTCACCCAAGATATCAGCCTAATACTTAGAAACAAGGAGAACAAACCTCTCTAACAGAATATGACTTCGAAGCAAGTCAAATCAACCACCAATTACTTGTACTGAACAAACCATTCAAAATTCGATGGAAGAAACTCAATGTTCACATCGAAGCAACAGAAAATTTTCCCAGAAGGAATATTTTTTGAAATAAATATACAAAAGAACAAAAATTGGACATTTACAATAAATTGACCAATTTCATGAAAAAGCACATATTTGAAGTATTTTTCTTCGATTTCGTTGAAAAGTATTACGAGTCTAAAAAGAAGTTAGAAGTCATCACCAAAGAAAATTAGGTCAAAGAATACAAAATCATAGTCTATTCTAGTCACCTTCCACAAGAAACAATTTTAATTACAACTACATAAACACAAGTACCAGCCACTCATTTCAAACTTCCAAAAGAAGATGCAGGAGTCAAGCCAGTCATCGAACAAAACAATTTCACAAACCAAAGTCTACACACCATAGGAAAACAGTTAGACAAAATTGAAACCAAAATAGATAGACTTTCTTAACCAAAACCAACAATTAGGGGAAAACCCCTAGTCAACTTCCCAGAAGCCTCATCCAGCATGACAACCTTGAAAACAATCTCCACAAGTCAAAAAATAGATCAAATGTCACAAGAGTTAAAACAAGAAAAAACAGTCAATGTTTTACAACACCTAGATGAATCCCAACCAGAAACAACTTCTGCAATATGGGATTCAGAAGGCGAAAGTGAAACAAATTTCGTCAGAAAAGTAGAAGAAGCTTTTCAAAATCTTGAACTAAAACGAATCACAAACAAAAGAGTCAACCCAACAACTTTTACCAAAAATTGGTATCCAAGGCCAACACCTCCGGATATTCAATTTGAGGAAAGAAACGTCCAAAACTAATTCTCAGTCGCAGCTGATAAACTCTATGAATGGAACATAGATGGATTATCAGAACAAGAACTTTTGAACAAATTACAACACATCTTGTTTGTACCATACTTGACCAACCCCGAAACTACTAAGCACCGGTCAACATTATACTGCCAAGAACCCACAAAAGTCTCCCTCCAACCAGGATGCTAATCACAACACGACACATGTCAACATCAGAGGCCAATCATAACGTGACACGTGTCGACATTGTAGGAAATGTGCCCTAAAACCAATCATGTGATGATACTTTACGGACATTTCACATGTTAAACTAATCTAGTTTAAATATAAAGGGCAAAGATTATTGTTTGAGCCGTCTCATATAAATGTTATATGCTTAAACGATAAGTCCAAAAAATATGTGATTGGAAGAATACGATCTAAAGAAGTTAGATTCATGAGACCATTCTTTCGTAGACACATGCTAAACGTTCCTGATCATAGGATTGCCAATTGGGCATTGACAGTCCGTTAAGATCAGTACGTCCTGTGTCTTCTCTCAGGGAGAGTGACTAGTCTCGAGTCATTGGTGTGTGTGACATCAAGACAAGTACGTAGGTGCTCAATAGAGAATGAGTTCACTGAACACGATCAACGAAGAGTACTCATATTCATGTCACATGAGAACTCATGGTTGGGATAATGCAAAGTAGTCCTTTGACCTGAGGCATCACAGTTGTCTTGTGGTTAAGTCTTTGATCTTTGATTATGTCCAAAGTCACCCCATCGGGGTGTCCACGGCATCGTTGGGGTTAAGCCACTTAGCCATGGAGACAAGTGAATGCGCAACAAGGGATCTCTAACCTTCAAAACCGCTTTGAGGGAGAATACTCTCATGATATGATTTAGAATCTCTGGCGCCAGAGTATGAATGAGATTTAGGAAGTCGTTCCAAATCACATTCAAGGTAATCATATAAGCACACGAATCACATTGGATAGTAGACATGAATAAATAAACTATCAAACCAAACAATGTGGTCAAGAGTATTGTATTAGAGAAAGACCGTATTGCATTTGTAATCCTAAACTGAAATAGGTTCTCCACCTCTTCTGATTAGCTTGGGTAAACCATGATATGCTGCTAGGTGTCACTCATGGTTTTGTGGAAGCCCTAAACGTGTATAATCACTAAAGGGAGAATTGAAAGTAAGTTTCAATTTCACAATCGATTTGAAATGGTTTTAATCGCCCTCTGCCTTGCTAAAAGGAACCTAATGGATCGTACACCGTGTAAGGTGGAGATTGAAGAAACAATGGAGATGAGTAAGAATAATTAAATGGTTTAATTATTTATGGTAAGGATTAATTAATATGTTAATTAATCAAACGAATAAGTTCGTTAAAGACCTCGGGATAGTTTTGGACCTTAAGGCCCAATGGGCTTCGAACGTCAAACCCATTAACTTAAGTTGTATGACAACTTAATGAATAATGATTCACAAAGGCCCAATTAGTCCAAAAATATCCCAATGGCCGGCCATATTAGAGATGGAGTGGGTTTTGGACTTATTTACAAGTTTGTCACTCCAATGAATTAAGGTATAAATATGACTTTATAGCCAAAATTCATTTAAGGGTTTCTTTTGGAGAAACTTGGAGAGAACATGTCTCTCCCTTTCTCTCTAAAGAGGCCGGCCCCTTGGAGGGTGTATCTAGCCATACTAACTACTCCAAGGTCACTCATTTCTTCTCCAATCTAACCCTGGTGAAGATACTTAGAGGTTCTCAATTTTGGGAACTTGGAGAAACCTTTTCATCCATCCCAATCCATAGATTTTAGATGCAAGGAATGAAGGCCCTCTCTTTGGGTGATTAGCCTTTGCTTATGC